GCCAGTCCGGAGGCCAAAACGGATCAGGTCTGAGAAAAGTTGTAACTTGAGAGCCGAAATGATTTAGTGCTCCTTTAGGCCGTAAAGGTGAAATTGCTTTCAGACATGGACATTTTGGTAACAGGACGCTTGATCAACTCATCCGTTCTTCACTCGGCTCGTGTGGAAGTGTTTGAAGGCTGCTGGCCATTGGCTGCGCCAATCTTTGCAACTCGCGCTGTTTGTACAGACCTGGCAAGGAATATGGTCCCTCCTCGAGTCCCTATTATGATACAGCCCCCAGCATCCAAATTAGGGCGCCAAAAATGATTGTGACAACCTACAATATGTGCTTCATGGTTGCACAACCAGAAAGATCCGCGCCACGGTGGCCGAGCATTTTGCGAATAGTTCTGCACGCACAACCCTCCGCAGCAAACCTTGGTAGTCCTTTTACCACAGCTGACCACCCGTAAGTCTACTCTAAGCTTGCCTGGGAACCTAATGTGACATGCGCCTGAATTGTTTTTCAGCGCGGCTTCCGATGCCTAACTTGGGTGAAGGAAATACACCGCGCACAAAACATGTAGCGGACCCGCTCTGCCTGTCGATCAACCGTGAATGGCCGCTGGTGGAGAGCGCTGCAAAAGGCTGCAGCAAAAGTCTGGCAACCCCTATAGTATATTGGGGTTATATTGGGATAATGGAAAATAAAATGGAGACTACTGTAAAGGTCTATTTCGGGCTATCAAACCTACGGTTTCTGTTCGAGTCCCTCTTATGATACGGCCCCTCAAATTCAGAGCGCCCAAAATGGCAGTGTGATTATAACCTTGGCTGAAGAGGGTACGGCGCCCAGCGCAGACGATTCAGGGTCTTTTGGGGGTTCTGGATTACTTGATCCCGATGTGGATTCCTCACATTTGTAGTTGCAACCCAACCCCATGGCCATTTGGTTTTTCCGGCCACTTGCACCTCACCCGGGCATGCCTATACCGCCTACACCATCCTTAAGGATTGTAGGCAAAGCGCCAAAACTTGCAGCACTGGCGGAGAGTTCCACTCTCCCTGGCGAAGCAGGGCGTTGTTTTGTTGGGGGCGGCATGGCAGACTATAGGGCCTCTTCAGGTTTTGCAGGGCCAGCAGACTCTCTGGATATGTTGTTTCCGAGCAAATACCAACCAGAAAGACCTGCAGAACAGCTGCTGGGTGTTTTGCGAGTAGCTCCGCCAACGCAATCCTTGGCAGCTAAGCTCCATACTGTCTGGACTGAGCCCTCATTGGTATGTCAGACCCTAGAACAATCTGCGCTGGAGCACGCTCACACAACCAGAAAGCCCGCAGAATGGTTCGAGTTTGTTGCGAGTAGTTCTGCCAGCACAATCCCTGGCAGCTAAGCTCTGTACTGCGCACCCGGCTCACCCCAGGATTTGCATTTGATGTGCGAGGTGCCTCGCCTGAACTTCTCATCCAGCTATAGAACATCTTACACGAAAGGCCTGCGCAACGTTAAGCTGCACGAAGGTGCCTGACAGGAATCAGAATAACCCCTCGGCTCAATGTGCAGGCCACAGAAGTCCCGTATTTGCAGGTCTGGTGCGTAGCGGCATAGCATGTTTCACATGCTCAGGGTCTCAAGGCGGTTCGAAAATGTTCGAAATTGCAAGCTGTATAACCAGTTGGCAAGTGCTGTGCTGAACGCAAGGCAAGGTCTCTCAGCGTACTTCCGGCCGTACTTCTGGTGTGGGTTAGCCACCTGCATGCCAACCTCAGGGCTTTCCACAAACCCCAAGCCCTAAACCCTAAACCCTAAACCCGAAAAAAAACCTAAGCCCTAAAGCTCAACTGAGTATGGTCAATGCTAGTTCGGAGGCTCCGGTGGCTTCCGCTGCCTTGCAGGGCTCTGGCGGGGCTCTGGGAGCTGCACTTGCAGCCAGGGTTTAGGGTTTGATGTGCCGACTGGCCATGTGGGTTTTCCTCAAAACAATCCCTCTACATCCCTCTTGAGCCCCTACTACGGACCCCCCCCAAAGCCTCTCATAAATCCCATATATTACTTGGGGTCCTGGTCCCCCTGTTTCGACAAGTGCCCATAGGTCATCTGTCGCCAGGCCGTGCTTACTGCCGTGCTTACTGCCCAGGTGTATTCGATTGCAACTGTCACCTTGAAGGGTTGCCATAACCAGGGGACCGTTTTGGAGGGGTGTAAGGATTGTTGCAGTATTTGGGGGCACATGAGGAAGACTTCTGTTTCTGAATGCACATTTGGCCAACAATATTCATCCCCCCCATGCCCAAACCCTAAACCCTAAGCCCAAAACGCAACCCGTCGCCTCGCAGGCCCAGAGGTCCTGTTGCTATGAGTGCTCAAGTCATACCAGCCCCTGTACCACCCCCGCCTAACTGAGCCTAAATAAGAGGGAATCCAGGGGTAGTATGGGCGGGAATAGCACCCACGATCAAGGCATGCGCTGCCGAAGGCCCTTCGGACCTTGAGTGGAGTGCGTCTTACCCTTTCCTCAAAGGCGGGGTGGGTGGTCCAAAGGGTGTAGGTAACCTGGTATTGCGAACACGCCCTAATCCTGTCCGGCAGTCCCCAAAACATTGTAAGCGAGGTTTGGTTCCTCGTTTAGGGCACGCCGTAGTCTGTGGTGATTCAAGTTGCATCATACGAGCAGTACATCAGCAAGTTACGAGCGTGCTCAACCATTTGGGTTTTTGCAAGGGTCGCAGGGCTAAGCGCCTTAGCAGTTTTGAGCTTGCTCAATGACCGTTCCCCCTGCAATTCTACTTTCTGAAGGCGAGGCAAAGAGTGCTGTAGTGAAGGGGACGTTGAGGGTCCTCAGATGGTACAACATAGCTCCCCAAATTCGAGCCCCTAGATTCGTACGGAGGGCCACATAGGGATAACATACAGGCGGTTATTGGCTTTTCAATAATTTCGGTGTACTCTCCGCAGTCATTGCAGAAATTGTGTTTAGATGATAAGGAAGATCCCTTTAAAGCAGTTGCAGCCCCTAGAGTCCTAAGAGATGGCGCAAGATGTCTTCCAGCATAATCAACACTTTGCAGCCCCAAATCCTGTTCTTCCCATTCAGGTCACTTTTAGGAGGCAAGTGGAGGTCCCAAAGCCAAGCCTAAACCTCAACTTGAAACCCGAAACCCGAAGACCTAAACTCATCACCCCAACCCCCTTCAAAGCCGACAGACGGAAAAGGACATTTTAAAAAGGCGCCTGAAGCCAACAAGCCCTAAGGCCTCAAAACCCTGAATCTGCGTCTTGGGAGCCCCAAAAGGTAAGAACGATTGTTCTTTGGTCCGGTCACGTGCCAAAGCAACCACCTGCTTGCGTTGCGGACAGGTCAGACTGCCAGATATGCAGGAGTTGATGCTACGGGAAGGCGGGCAGTTTGGGGCTCAGGGTCGAGAGGCACATAAACACTGATAAACCCTGAACCCTGAACCCTAGCCTTAAGCTGTAGCTGACATTCTCAGATGTGGTTGGAGGCTTGTGGTTTTGGGGTTCCATGTGCAAGTGAGGGGGTGTCATGCTGGCGGCGCCTTCCAAAGAGTTCAGGGCCTACACCCCACAATAAACCTTAATCTTTATGCCTTACACCCTGGGGGTCTTTTTCTGGTCTTTTGGAGCCCTACAGTTATTTGGCAGACTACCCTTTTAGAATTCTGCCTAGGGACCCCCAGGATCCTCTCATAATCAGAATCCCAGTATATCCCTTGGGGGTCCATAGGGTCCTTTTTATGAGAAATCCCTATTTCAGACCCCAATTCCTCCGAGGTCCTGTAGCAGAAGTAGGTCTAGAGGTTTGGGGTTTAGGTATTTATAACCTCTTACCCTTAATCCCTATAGAATCCCCATAGAGCAAAAAAAAAGCCTTGTTAAGGGCCCCCAAACCCATCCTAGCTCAAGCAATCTTCAGATCTAGAGCTCAAGATGAACCTCCAGGTTTAGGGTTTAGGGCTTAGGGCTTAGGGTTTAGGGTTTAGGGTTTAGGGCTTAGGGCTCATGAGCCAAGTCCTAGGAAGTTTAGCTTTCGAAAAAGTCTTAGGCTTGCATGCACTACCTGCCCAACTCATCTGAAAATCAGATCCCATGGAGACATGTGAGGAAGAATTAGGGGATTGCATAGGGGTTATGAGTTCTGATGGGCTTATACCCTAAACCCTGAACCTTCAACCCTGAACCCTAAACCCTATGTTTTTCATCCTTCCAGGGTCTGGGTATCTGACTCCTGCATGTCTCTTGGGCTTCTTAATTAGTTATCACCCATGCAGGTTGATGGGTCCAAGGAGGGGTGTTAAGGTTTAAGGGCTTAGGGGTATAGAAGGATATACAGGGATGTACAGGGTTAAGGGTTTGGTGATGGTTTAGGTTTTAGGTTTGGGGATGAAGGTTTGGCTGTTTGTCCTTGGGCACGTTCGTATGGAATCCAGGCCTCCATTCCCTGTGAATGTCCAGCAATACTGATAGTAATAGTAATAGTAATAATAGTAGTAATAGTAATAATAGTAGTAATTATCATAGTAATAGTAATAGTAACAGTAATAGTAAGAATAATAGTAATAAGTTGTGTGAGCTGTGCGTGGATCTGTGCATGCTGCCGCAGTGGGGATGTGACTGGCAATACGACCTAGAGCGTGTTGTAGCCCTTCCCTCATCAGCTTTCACGCAATGAAGTGCACTCTGCTGCTGACGGCGGTCGCAGCCGCATTGGCGCGGGAGCCTCAGCCTAAGACTCGCAGCCCAAGGCACCCTAAACCCTGAATTGTAGTTTCCATAGTTTTTTTCCATTATCCCCATATGTCCCTTGATGGCCCCCAGACGTTAACTATCATTTATATAGCCCCCCAAACCCCATGCCAAGCTCCAGCCTCTAAACCCTAATCCCTAAACCCTGAATAGCAGTTTCCATTTTCTTCTCCATTATCCCCCTATATCCCTATAGAACCGCTAAACCCTGGAGAGAGCCCTAAACCCTAAACACTAATTTCTTGGAGCTTAGGTCTGATGTTACCCCTGTCCAGAAGGTCGTGCAGTTGCTCGAGAACATGAAGCTTGATCACATGTGAGCTATAATCTAAACTCCTTAAAGGGGGTCATATATGGCATGTATTATAGGGATTACTAAGGGGGATACTAGGAGTTTAGACTGCAGCTCATGTAGGGTTTAATGGATTCCGGTTTCGTCTAGGGTTTAGGTTTTAGGGTTTAGGGTTTAGGTTTCAAAAACATGGCCTTGCTTTTCTCCATGCTTTCAAGCCTCGTGGAGCACCAGAAATGGTTGTTTGAAGCCCAGGAGCGTGTCGCATATAGGGGAACCTTTGAGCCTTTAGCTCTAGACTGAAGAACACCCCGACTTCAAAACAACAGTCCTATGGATGACCCAGGAAAGACAAGGGCGTCAAAGAGATGGAGGCTGAGCAGGCGGGCAGTTCTCTAAAGTCCCATAGTTCTACGGGATTTTTTGGATAAGGAACACCGTTGGTTGAATGCTATGCCAGGGTTTCATTCAAATGTTGCTATGTTTGTGGTCTTTTGCTGGGCTTCTTGCAGCTTCGAGGAGGCCTGCCAGTGTATGAAGCTCTGTCTTCGGGGTTAGCAGGCAAAGTGCTGTTGAGGGGGCCGTCAAACACCCCCTTCATGTTCGGAAGCCCACGTTCCGAAACTGGGTTGCCATGTAGCCTACAGAGATCTGGCCTCCAAGAAAGGCGACCGAAATGCCAAGACACCGTGTAATCCCCAAAAGACCCATTTAGTAGCTTGTCTTAAAAGGAAGATCCCAATATAGACCCCCAGAGTACTGTAAACCTACTGACAAGGACCCCCAAAAAGGTACCACGAATTTTGGGAACCCCCAAACCTAAACCCTAGACCCTATATAGCCTTGTATTACTTATGTAACGCTATGTACCCCGTTTTTATGAACCCCTCAATATATTGACAGCGCAAGGTCTCCCCCCAGCCCCTTCCGCACTTCCAACGCAGTCAGATGAGCTAGAGTCTAAACTCCTTGGGTCATGTTTGATTCAAGCCCAGAAGCACTAAACTCAGGCCCCAACTCAGAAACACAAAGCCATGTACCTTCATCCATGCAAGCCTCAAACACCACTCCAGCAGGTCCAGTTCACGGAGTTCAAGCAATTCTGTGACATGACCCTGGCCGAGAAGAAGAAGTCTATCAGCGATGCCAGCGACAAGTTGGAGTCTCTGCAGGTGGCAAATAAAAAGAAGGGATGGTTTTGAGTTTTTGTTTGAAAGTTTAGGCCCAGGCCCTAAACTTGAGGATTTTGGAGTTAGGGGTCGGAACATGAGAGGCTTAAGGGTAGGTTTAGGGATACTTCCCTGAGCCCTTCTGTCTTGCCTTTGGTTCCTTTCAAGGGGACCTTTCCCAGAGATTCTCATAGTCTTGCCCCCAAGCTTTTGCGGTACGGTTTCGGGACTTGGGTTCAGGCTTGAGGGGAGGTATGATCTAGGGAAGATGATGAGCGTCGCGCGTTAGAAACGTGAAATCCTACATCCTAAGCCCAAAACCTAAGCCCTAAACCCAAATCCTCAAACCCAGACCCTGAACCCTAAACCACACAAACCCTAAACCCTGAGCCCAGAACCCTAAACCCTAAACCACGAACCCGAAACCCTGAACCCTCGGCCCTATAGTCCCCCTGAAGTAGATAGAATATGGCTCTGGGTATATTCTAATAAGACCCCCATATACCCCATATTCTATCTACTTAAGGGGACTATAACTCCACAAACCCTAAACCCTAAACCCTAAATCCTAAACCCTAAACCCTAAACCCTATATCCTAAACCCTGAACCCTAGGCCCTAACTTCACAAACTCTTGCAGGCCGACATTGAATCCTCGGCGGCTGAGGCCGAGCGCCTCACTGGCGAGATCGCTGGCTACTTGCTCTGTTAGTGCTTCACAGGATTTAGGGTTTAGGGTTCAGGGTTTAGGGCTTATAAGTCTAGGATGTAGGGTTTAGGGTTTAGGGTTTCTTGCTCTGTCAGAGCTTCACACAGGTCGGTTTGAAAACAATGTCTATTTTCTTGTACCGTTAATCCCTATAATCATCAGAAAGCCATACAAACTAGAATTTTCAAAGGGCCCCTAAACCTACCCTAGTTCAGAGGTAGGGCTTAGGAGTATTGATAGTAGGAGTCGTAGCCATAGCATGCAAGAGCAATGGTTCCTCATACGGGAAATAGTCACTAATGAACGGTGGGTTAGGGACTGTGGGGTTTGTTGGGGTCTAGGATCTTAGGTTTACGTGGGGGCTCTCATCCGTTCACTCTGGATGCTCAGACTGGGTCTTGGGATTTGATGTGCTGTGTGTTAAACAGACTGTATACCGAAACTCAAGAAGGAATCTAGAGCGTGTAATAGCTGTACTACCGCAACAAGGAACCGGCAAAACTCCAAAGTTCAGATTTCAGGGTTTAGGCCTTAGGGCTCAGGGTTTTAGGGTTTAGGGTATGATACAGATACGGCCGAATATTTTGGGTTTATGCTGTCGGGGTTTAGGGTTCAGGGGTTTAGGGGACCTTTACTTGTTGCTAGTTAAGGAACAGTGGAGTGGATCTCAACAGCAGCCCATATACGACCCCCAGTACTAGAGTAGTTTGCATTTCTTTTTCATTCTCCTCAGTTCCCTGCTAACAACCAGCAGGCATTTGGGGCATCCATAGCAACACGGTTCAGGGTTCAGCATCAGGTGTAGCTGCCCATGAATCCCCAGCACCCTAAACCCCAACCCCAACCCCAACCCTGAACCCTGAACCCTCGGACTCCAAGCATTGAAAGGCCATGCGACAGACATTGAGACCGCCAGCGCAGAGAAGGCCAACGCCACCAGCATCCGGGAGAAGGAGCGCACGGATTTCCTGGCGGCCCTCAAGGAGCCCCGTCATATGTAGGGCTATATACAAATAATGGAAACGAAGATGGAAACTACTATAATATTCGGATAGTATTGGGGTTATATGGGGATAATGGAAGAGAAAGTGGAAAAAATGTATATATATATATATGTATATATATATATATATATATATACGGGTGGTTGTCAAAATTATGGCCCCTTTTTGGATTCCTATTATAATACGGCACCTGATATTCAGGGTACCCAAAAACGGACCGTAATTTTGACAACCACCCATATGCTTTATGATTCAGGGTTTGGGGTGTCAGTAGCTCTTGGGGCGAGGGGACCGGGTGGTTCAAGCAGGGTGGGGTCCAAATCAGGGGACTTGACCCAGTCTTTTGTGGGGGTTTTATCGTCTAAAAGTTTAAAAGAAGCTTGAAAAACGAGGTCCGAAATTTGACTCGCCTGGTGCATAGAGACGCACGGGAGTTTTTCAAAATGGGGGGTCACTAGGGACCCCAAGTCCAGCGTGGGATGATCAGGTTTTTTGACGGTGTCGTCATGGGGGAGCATATAGGCATTGCTTTGAGAAATACCTAGAGAACATGCGGCAGATGCTGTTTGTTGATCAGGTAAATCTCTAGGCACCCACACGCCAGCCAGACCTTCTAAGCCTTACAATCCCCTTCGACCGAAAGCTTCTTAGGCGCCCTGTTTTGGGAGCCCCTGGCCTGGGGATCTAGCCAGTAGAGGTTTGTTGGGGTCTTCGGCCGTGAGGCTTGCTGCAGAGTTGTGTCATGTCTTCCCCACGAAGACTTCACTAAGCAGACAGGCATGTGAGCTGTAGTCTAAACTCCTTAACGGGAATTATACCGGGGATTGTATCGAGGAGTATGATAGGGGGTTATTAAGCGGCATATCAAGACCTTAGACTATAGCTCATGTGATTTTCTGAACCTTTCATGGTTCCTCCAGCAGAGCAAGAAAGCCTGGTGGCAGACCGTAGTATACATTTGCAGAGTCCCCAAAGCCGTGAAATCCTTAACCCCTTATAGTCCCCCTTAAGTAGATAGAATATGGTTTTGGGTATATTAAAAAAAGATCAGCATATATTCCATATTCTATCTACTTAATGGGGGCTATATCCCTCGACACCCCAAGCCCTAAACCCAGGACTACACTGAGTCCATTGATGCCATCCGCAGAGCCGTCAAAGGCCTGAAGGAGGAGGACTTGTAGACTGCACCCTAACCCTTTAACCCAAAACCCAAAACCCTTAACCCTAAACCCTAAGCCCAAAATCCTTAACCTTAAACCCTCAGCCCAAAACCCTAAACCCTAGACCCTAAATCCTAAACTCTAAGCCCAAAACCTTAGGTTGACGGTTCAGTGTCTGAGGTTTCTGCAGGGCAATTTGCGACCAAAGCGTTCTGAAGCCCAACCCCTGAGGCCTAAACCCCCAAACCCTGAGCCCTTGAACAGGGTGAGCTACAGTGTAAACTGCTTAGACGGTGTTATATTTGGGATCAATATAGGGTATATCGGGGATTATATAGGGGTTTAGGGCTTTGGATTCTCCACAAGAACCTTAGCAAACTCCCCAATGGGATCTCCAGAATCCGTTTGGCCACACGTTCTGAGAAGAACTCCTAAAACCGAAAAAACAAAACATAAGATAACGGAAACATAAGATAACGGATTTCCGGCAGGTATGAGAACCGCGCTCAGAGTAGAGTTTCACCTAGAAGTAGAAAGAGCTGCTCAGTTAGCATGAACGGTTTTGGGCCACTTTATGCCTTTGTTTAGGGGGAAATGCGTCGAACTTCAGGTCTTCAGCGTTTGTCTGAGGGGGTTTGGGATTGTCATGGTGGTTTTGGGCTCTGCTTGCACAACTCACCCATTATGATCACCATCATCCATGTATCAATTCCTCCCCTGATCCCATCCTTGCCCCCCCATGACAGCTTCACCATGATTATTTGCACAAGCTTCAGTCAATCGCTGGTATGCTGCATGCTCGTAAGCAGTTGCCCAAAGTTACCACAACATTGCGCCTAGCATCAGAGTAGGGATGCCTTGTTCTCAGCCAGTCTCGGATCGCCCATGTTCGGACAGCCTTAGAAAATCAACCCAAACTCTGAAGCCTCAACCTTGCGCCCGAGACCCTGAACCCTGAGCCCTAATTCTAGCAGCAACGTGGTAGAGGATCCTAAATATAGACTTTGACCTAAACCTTACAGCCCACACCCCAACACCAACAACTCCCTTGTCCTGAACCCTCCTGAACCCTAAACTCTAAACCCCAAACCCCTAAACCCTGTGGCAGGACAAGAAGACAGCCCTTGTGCAGCTCACACGCGCTCGCGGCAGCAAGCTGCCAGTCAGCATTGTGCCCTTCTTCAGGGAGTTTCTCAAAAAATTAGGGCTGTAGGCTTTAGGCTTTAGGGTTTAGGGTTTAGGGAAGTGCAATATCCTGCCTAATAACCCTAGACCCTAAACTCTGAACCCTAAACCCCCGAAACCAACCCAGCGAGGCTGCTTCCCAGCTCTGCAGCAGACAGCATCGACGCGCATTCTGGCTTGTTGTTGAGGAGCACTTTTGATTCGTATAGATATCCCCATATACCGCGGGTTTAGGGTTTAGGGACGGGCTTAGGGTTTTAGGGTTTGGTGTTTAGGGTTTAGGGACACAATTCCTACCCCCAAACGTTTTATAGTGCCAAACCCTAAAGCTTAAACCCTAGTCAGGCCCTCATCCCTAAACTCAAAACAATATCCAAGGTACCTTAACAGGAACGCTCCCACTGCCACCAAGTCCAGCCTTGTCATGCAGCAGGTGGGGTGGGTTTTGGGGTTTTAGGGCCTGGGGTTTAAGAACTTCAGGATGTGGGGATACCTGGGTTTAGGGTTTAGGGGTTTAGGGTTTAGGGTTTTGGGTTGAGGGCTTAAGGTTTAAGAACTTTAGGATTAAGGGTTAAGATTTGGTAGTTTCCCAAAATGCGTGGACCCTACTATGGACCCCAAAATACTATAATCCTTCTTATGGGGACTCCAAGTAAGGTACACCTAATTTTGGGAAACCCCCATCTGTAATTTAAGGTTTCAGGGTGGCTTTAGGCCCTAAACCCTAAATCCTAAACCCTAAACCCTAAACCCTAAGGTTTCAGGGTGGCTTTAGGCCCTAAACCCTAAATCCTAAACCCTAAACCCTAAGGTTTCAGGGTGGCTTTGGGCCCTAAACCCTAAATCCTAAACCCTAAACCCTAAGGTTTCAGGGTGGCTTTAGGGCTTATAGGACTTTTAAGTCTAGGGTTGGCGCTCATAGGATTTTAGGTTTAGGGCGCAGGGTTTCCCCAAGAGCGCCCCTGGGGTCCCTGTGTGTAAACCTAGGGCATAGAGATTCGGGGCGGTGTACATTCAGGGTTTAGGGTTCAGGTTTAGGGTTTAGGGTTTAGGGTTTAGGGTTCAGGGTTCAGGTTTCAAATGGGATGGACTAAAGTGGAGAATCAAAATGGAAGCTGGGATTAGATTGGTGCGTTGGGCTAGGTTGTGGTTTATTGATTATCGCTGGCCCCTAAACCCTATACCCTATATCCTAAACCTTAACTAAATATGACTACCCAGGAGGTACCTGGTGTCAAGTATGTATCTGTGTGTTGTCTTTGGGGGCTCAGGGCTTGAATCTGTTCTGTTTCCACTTGTCACACTGTCCCTCTATGTCCTGGAGCGGGCCCCACGCAGCAAACTAGCAAAAGGTCGTAGCAAGCTCTGAAGCCGAGCCTAGTCCCAACCTGAAGCCCTAATCCCTCAGACCTTAAGCCCTGAACCCTAAACTCTCAAGTCTAGCCCCTAACCCCTACACCCTGTCCCTAAACCCTAAACCTTTCTTTGTAACATCTAAATCATTTTGGCAGCCCAAGGTCAAGTCCGACAATTCAGGAGCCCAGGAACCTAAGACCTACGAGTTTCAGTCGGGAGGCGGGGGCTCATGAATACATGGTTCAGGGTTTAGGGTTTCGGATTTAGGATTTAGGGTTCAGGGTTTAGGGTTTAGGGTTTAGGATTTAGGGTTTAGGGCTGTGGGCTTAAGTTAGGTTGGGGGGACCTACAGGGGGTATAGGGGGGCACCTCTTAAGGAACATTTTATAACTTTAGTTCAGGGGTCACATGGGATTAAGAGAGGGTTTTCAGGGTTCAGAGGTGGTTCAGGATTTCGGGTTAGGGTAAGGTTTACAGAAGATTGACAGGTGCGAACATGGTTCCGGAGGGTCTGATGGCTCAAAGTTGGTTGTCTGTAGGGTTTAGATGTGTGATGCTGCGAAGTATTCTGGATGCTGTTCGGAAAGCTTCCTTAAACATGTACCCACACCTAAATGGGGGTTTCCTAAAAT